CAGGATTGCGAGAGACGACGGTAGTAACAGCGGTTACTACCGCTAGCGTTGCTAGCAACACAGCGCCAGGCAACAAGGGTGCTTATTACGTGGCCGTTTTCTGTATTGTCCGATCGAGGCTACATGAGGAGCAGCGAAGGCTATTCACAGTTAGTTCTCGAGCTACCTCCGAGTTAGTTCTGAGTTAGCCAGCAACCAGTCAGTTGTAACGTGGCATTTAAAGTGTAGTATTTGTGATAATGCAGATAGCAGTAATTGTAAAACTGTCAATTGTGTGATTGTAAGTGCGAATGTGAAATAAAATTCGCTATATCAAATACGGCGTGAAGTTATTTGTCGCGTTATACGCCCAATACGCGACAATATATATATATAATGAAGGAATCAGGCAAGATACAACATTGGAACGTTCAGCTTTTAAACTACAACGGACAGCGTTTCTTTGACCACTCGGAGGTGATCAGTATGCACGCCATTTACATCTTTGAGCCCGAAACAGAAGACTGACGTATTCTCTCCACTGTTTCCTCACTCTGACCTACCAGAACTCCTCGCCGTAGACGAACTACCTATTTCACAGAACTGTTTGTACCACGTGTGAAAGGGTTAGGTGGTTCCGTCGCGGACTACACATTCGGTTGGGTCGTCGTACTGGTTCTCCCGAAACCACAGTACACATTTCCCAGGCATCGCCATTTCCTTAGCGAAAGTCATTGCACCTCAACGTGTACGCCGCTACTGGGAACTTTGGAAGTTGAGTTATGTTGTCTGAAAGTTGCGTGATTGCCTCAGAGTAAATCTACAAAATGGGAGAAGTCGATAGCACAAATTACCGAGATTCTGAGTATCGCTAAGAGTATTTGTTTCAATCTACTTACTGGTTTTCACGCCATTAAGCGTGTGGCATTTGCACGTGAAGCGAAGTTTGCAGTAAGTTTTCTTGTGGTCCAGAAGCTCCTGCAGTTCAGTGAACATCTCTCTGCAGTTTCCGCAGATCAGAATATCAGGGTTGCCTGAAACAAATAACGAAACTTTTAACCTTTGTACCAGTCCCCCTTGGCCAATCGTTAGGATCTCATGTTCTGAAGCCTCGCCCCGAAAGCCCGCTATTGGATTCTTTCTTACTTACTTACTTAGTTACTTATGGAGCTGAGCCCTTCTTGAGGAGAAGCCAAATCTGCAGCTGCTCAAGAATTTACCAGCATTTTTTGGAACCCAAAGGTTCATTGCCGTGTTCACAAGAACCCCCCACTGGTCCCTATCCTGAGCCAGATCAATCCAATCAATACCATAAGCCAAATCTGCAGCTGCTCAAGAATTTACCAGCATTTTTTGGAACCCAAAGGTTCATTGCCGTGTTCACAAGAACCCCCCACTGGTCCCTATCCTGAGCCAGATCAATCCAATCAATACCATCCCATCCTATATTTCTAAGCTCCATTTTAATAATGTCCACCCACCTGCGCCTTGGTCTCTTTCCTTCTGGATTTCCCACCAATATCCTATATGCATTCCTCGTCTCCCCCATTCGTGCTACATGACCTGCCCACCTCATCCTCCTTGACTTCATCATTCTAATTATGTTTGGAGAAGAGTACAAGTTATGAAGCTCCTCATTATGCAGTTTTCTCCAACCTCCCGTCACTTAAGTTCTCTTCTGTCCAGATAGTCTCCTCAACACACTGTTCTCAAACACGCTCAGTCTGTGTTCTTCCCTTAATGTCAGAGACCAAGTTTCACACCCATACAGATATTGGATTCTTTCAGAAGAGTAAAAAAAAAAGTCATTATGTAATCCACAAGTAATTACACATTTTATATCGAGGATCTTATACCCGTAAAGATGTGTAATTGTATTCGAGAGATAGGTAATTCGTTTTTTTTTTCACAGTTTGTATCCTGTTGCGGCAAGCAATAAAATTCAATCTATGAAATACTGATTGATTGTAAAACCATTTTTTTGTTTTGACGGATACCTTACCTAATCATATAGGAAATTTCGTTCTAATCCCATGCAGCCTACCCATTATATTTGCGTAGATTTGTGTAGATTTTATTCAGTCTGAATTTTCACGTGTAGGGGCGAATTATAGATGGGTTTTTGATTGGATGTATGGATTTGTTGACACCTTATGCACTCTACTCGGGACTACTGGCAGCTACAGCTCTGTCGCTACCGAACCTCTTATTTCAAGCGATGCTTGCTTCACAGATTTTTCGTCGTTCTCCTCAGTTCCTCCACATGAATTATGAGATAGTATTTTTAAATACATCATGACCACTTCCTTCCCGATCTTTCACGTTCACCGAACGCCATCACTCATTATTCTAAGTGAAATATTTGATACAGTTGATACAGCGTCATTACATACTCTACTGCTCATAGATCGTCATATTTTCCCGCCCTCTAACATGCAGTTATTCCCCTCAGGACTTAAATTAAACGCCCTGTGAATTAATACTGTAAGCATCCAGTTTAGATGGGTGTGTTGTGTAACACCGGTCACAACGACTTTCAGGATTTCTGGGGAAGTACCGTATCCAGCGATTAAGTGGACGTCAAGCAGACTGAATCATAATGTTGGGCCGAAGAACCAGAGCCCGGTTTGTGTTCATACCCTAAGCTTACTCCAATAGAAGGATCGTGAAGGTACATTTTGTTATTACGACGCTTGTGACGTATAGTGACGGTTTGTAATAAGAAGAAAGCTGAGCATTCAGTTATATAAACATTGAATTTTGTAGCCCATTTGGCCAGTTTCGGTAGTCACACGAAGCGTCACGTAGCAGCCATTACCTAGCTCCAGGAAATTATGCACTGCATAAAGCTTTGAGTTAATTAAGACTGTAATTGCACACTCTTGAGGACCCGTTCATCACTGTTCATGCCATAAGCTGCTTGAGATGACGTCCTCTGTTTATATTAACAAATAAATACCAACAGGCGACTGGACTTAATAACATTTCTAACATGACGCTCCTATTGTGTCGAGTTCTCCAGTGCTCTCATATTGTTGAGCAATATAGTTTTGGTTGGAGGTTCTCCCAGCGGTGCTTATGAAGAATTCTATCTTCTACGATATAACGCCGTGTAGTCCGTTGAAAATCATATGGCAGTTTTCCATCTGATCTCGCACTGGTTCCTTCCGCAGCTTATTCTTCGACACTGAAGATGGAGACGATATATTCCTCCGAAAGTCGGTTGATTTTGAAAAGACTATACTGCGTAATGTATAATTGTTAATATTGTTGAGAAATAATGTCTTCTGGGATGTGTCATCTTGTTGTCTGGTACGTAGGTACCAGTGTTTCGTAGTAATTTCCATCTCCAGGGCAGTAGGGTTTCTCAGAATAGCATAGCACACTACACTCTGTCACATCCCAGACGACAGCAGTGTTCATACTCACAAGACTAAGCACCTCAGATAATGTCTTCTTTATCAGCTGTTGGAAGTTAAGCCCCGTGACTTAGTGCGACGAAGTTCCCTGGCTTGGCTTGAAAACTGGTTCAGAAGTTGTGGATGTCTCAGACATTTGATAGGAGCGTGTGGTTGGCGGTTCGGTTCTTTGCGAGGCGTGTGCAGGTCAGTGTAAGATGATATACAAAAACTTAATAATAATAACCAAGCTGTGAAGTAGTTTCGAAAACGCAGCCCAAATTTTTAAAGGAACATAGACGAAAAAAGCCCTATGGTGTGGTCATATTTGGCATTTACAATTCTCGAAGACAGTAAGTTGAGGATGAAAAGAAAACATAATTGCTTACGCTGAAATGGAAGCAGTAACATTGCGATCGTCTCCTGTTGCCACACACGGTCGAATTTTTGCGTTCCGGAAGAATTCAGTTGTTCTTTTTTGCGGTCATACGTACCCGTAATACCAGGAGCTCCTGCTGCAGGTGAGTTTCTTTGTCACAGGTTACGCTTTTCACGTGTAGTCTTCTACTAGGAGAGCAGGCATCGTGAAACACTTCGATTACTTTAACTTCCTTAGACAGTCGGTTGGACTTCTTGGACCGGGGATCAGGCCGTCGCAAGGCCGCTACCTAACACAGACATATATGCCTTGAGTGGGATTCGAACCCACGATGCCAGTGTTAAAGCGAGCGAAGGCAGTTTCATGCCTTAGACCACAAGGCGACTGTGATCAGCCGCAGGTGAAGCAAGCTGTAGTTGTAGTGGTTGATAGTGAAAAACTAATTAGGACTTTATACAACACCGGAAACAAAATCTGCTACACCAGGGACGTATCTAGGAAGTTGTGGAGTGAAACTCCCATGGAAATGGAATTCCTTTCCTGAATTCATGTATTTCAGCGAAGTAGAGACTTCGTAGCGCTCCGACTAGCAAGTGCACCGCGAAGCTTTCTGTACCCATCCCGTGTGGCTCAGAAGCTGCAGTGCCTGCACGGGACGATTCTACAACAACAAAAACAGCTGAGAGCGCCGCTGACATCGAAAGGGTATCGTTACCTAGTTATTTGTTATACAAGCAAGTTGGTGCAGCACTTATGCTTCAGGAAGGAATTAACAATAATAAGGGATCAGCCAGGAAGCTGGTCTCAGTACTCCCTCATACATGTTCCCAACACCTCAACAATTTCCGCCTATGGGATACGCAGATCCCAACTTTCGAAACCAAACATACTGGCAACAACCAGGACACCATGTACCGAATGCGGTACAAATTCAACCGCCTTATCAGCCCCTACATCACCAGTCACAACAACCATCCTTCTCACACCAACCAGGTAATCAGAATTTCAGTACCCAAAATATTCTAAAACCTCCAAAACTCAATCTAACTGCAACAGCTGAAAACTACGATCTAGAATCTAGGTACTGATTCTAGTAATTATGAGCATGAAACTAACGCTGCAGCAAAGGAACAAAAAACCTGTGGCAACTAGTCAAGAAACGTAAGAGAGAAAAACAAAGAACCCAGTACTCCCACAATCGAACCAACAACAGTAAAAAACCGGTATAACCCGCTAACAGCCACGACCGAAAGCGATGCTGATGAAACAAATGGAACTAATAATCCACCAAAGACACCAAAACCACGTCCAATATTCATGAGGAAATTAAGAAAGCCTTTCTGATGCAACAGGACAAGAAGCATATTACACCAAAACCCTCCGAGATGAAACTGTTGTCATAAGGCACCTCCACCACTCCATCCCAATGGAGAAATCAAACTGGAATTAGAAAATGCGGGTCATAAAGTTAGCAACATAACGAACGTTAATATGGCTTTGAATGTGGTGCATAGTAGCACGATAGCTTTTTTCGGAAATGCTTTTAATATCTGTCTAGTGATCAAGTCATATCCTGGGGCCTTGAGTGGGTTAAGTCGATTTGTTTCTTCCATCACTTCCTTAGGAGAGAAAGCTTTTATGGACAGTGACATTTGGCAAGGGGTATTGAGAGAGTCTTCCATTTCTTCATCTTCGTCATGTGGTTCCGTTTTGAAGACCTCAGTTAAGTGTGAAGCAGACATGTCAGCTGTTTCTTTGTCTGAGCGAGCCCACTGCCCGTTAGGTTTTCGAATTGGAAGAACATGCACTTGTGGTCTCTTTAGTGTTTGTGTCGCTTTCCATAGAGTGTGGTCCTTCGCAGAAAGATTGGTGTTATAGTGTTCGAAGGTGTTGTTTTCAGCATCCCTAAGAGCATTTTTAGTTCTCTGCTTAGTCTATTGTATATATATTGATCCGCAACGTTTCGGGACCTTTACCAAATTCGTCTAGCTTGACGTTTTTCGGCAACTACGAGTAGTTGACGAATGTACAGCGGTGTGTCCGTGGTGTTTGTTTCAGTCTGTCTGCTTTGCGGGGTTGATTTCCAGGCAGCATCCTGCACCGGTCTGGTGAAGTGCTGCACTGCTTCATCAATGTTTTCTGGAGATTTCAGTTGCAGTTTAGGTTGATTTCCAGGCAGCATCCTGCACCAATCTGGTGAAGTGTTGCACTGCTTCATGAATGTCTTCTGGAGATTACAGTAGCAGTTTGGGTTGAT